TTGCAAATTGACATCTTCACGAAACGGCCTTTTTCTGGCACTGTAAAGAAATATGTTAATCTCCCAAGGGTGTTATCTGCATTTCAAATTTGTGTAAAAATAAATCTTTGTGAAAGACTCTGTTTTGTACTATTAGAGCAGGAAAGTGAGATCAACCAAATTATTACAAACAAGAGATGATGCCTACTTATTCATCGGTAGCCCTATCATTTTTACCGATTCCGATAACCGTCCTCTTCGATCATCTTTGTCGCGCGAGGATTCGATTCAGTCGTAAGCTGGACAATGACAACAACATTTTGAAGGAAATTGTATTCAAAACATGACTGGCAGATTGAAGAAGACTCAACCGAAAACTAAAAGCTGCTTCTAGAACAACTTAGAAGGTTTAAGATAAATTTGCCTCACTTCTTCAGGCAAAAAGTTTATACCGAATCTTTATTATCACTGCGGAGTAGCTCAAGAACAGAAGAGCATTGAATCGTTATCCTAAAGATGAAATTCTCAGCCGAGGATCTCCCGCGATGACGATGACGATGACGCTTCCACATTCACGTCCTTTCAAATCGCAAACCAATCACCATGTGATACAGTACCATCCTACCACAAAATTGCTTATAAGGTGGCAAAACTCTCCGACTAATAGGATTCGATGATCTCCTTCGATGACTACTTAGTCTTAGACCATTGCTAACTCCATAGTGCCCGTGAAAATGAAATTCTTTTCGGACCTCCACGGTTGTTAACGCAAATGAGGCTCCAGATATTCAGGTTGGGAGTAAGTTTTCAAGTAAACTGTTTTGCTCACAAAATCTTTAATGTCGTTAGCAAAAGCCTTTAGGATTGCAAGTAAACTGTTCTGGATCGTCAATTTTTTCTTTCAAACATCATTACGAAAACATTGAGAACCTATAATACGCCGAAGAAAGAGCAAAACTAGGCAGTAAACCTATGTATTTCTTCCAATATTAAATCTTCTCTCTCTTAAAGCGCATTAGCCTTCCGAAAGAACTTTGCACAATATCTTACAGCGAAAGTGGTGAACACTACATTTATAAGGTATGATTTTGCTCCATCCTAGTTTTGCTTTGTATAATATAATAGTACCTCGGAACATAAAATAAGCACTAGATTCTCACTTCATGGTGAGGAAACTTTGAAGAGGATTTGATTAAGTTACGAAAATACGGTGGTGCCCTGTGGTGGGAGAACATGCTCTAGACAGTCTTTTTCCTTCCTTAATGACAGTGTTTCTTTTATAGCCATGTAAAAATTTACGATTTATAATCGCTTACCGTGTTAGGATGGAGGGCTCTCTCTATCAAGACGCGCACTCTGTTAGAATTGGGTCCAACCTTCTCGTCATTTAAACCAATTTTGAGGTATCATTGCGTAAGGTCACATGTAATTAGCATGAACTTCAAGATAGGGTGTGTTACGAAGCCAGATTTGAAGCAGCAAGTGGTAGTGAACAACATCAAGTAGGGAGATTACCTTCACCGCCATTTGCTCAAACATTCCTTAGTGAACAAATCTTCAACAATAAAGTTATTAGGAAATTTTGGATAATTGCGGACGAAACATTTAAAGTCCTTATTCATTACTGCACCAAGAAGTTTCGCTTCAACCTCACAAAAGCGAAAATGTGGAATGTGAAAAGTTTCAGAGCTCATCAGGTTAAAAACTTTTTAGAGAGACTGTGTTTCCAGATCTCTGGAGCCTGGCTGTATCTGAAAGGCGTTATGTCACATTATCGCCATTGCCAGCTTTCTCAGTGACACGGAATTGTTTTCAATGAATCATGACACATATTTTGCCACAGTATAACAATCTTGGCACACAGAAAACCATACATACTTCGAGGTCATCATTGTAGACTTTATCGCCGACACTGGAACAAAAAGAACGTCTGAAGAACGTCATATTGGGATTCAGGGATTAGAATGGAATAAGCAGGACGAGCGGCTCTCCGAGTTTATCACGATGACCAAGATCATGGTAACTCGCTATTGCAGATGCCCCACCCCCGGACATGGCAGTCTCCTAGTGGAGACCACCATAACGAAATAGACATCATAGTAAGCCGAACGTTTTGCCTAACCGTTGTAGTTGTTGCCCCAAAATTCTAGACGGGGTGGTCAGACCATCGTCTCCTTCGTGAAAAATTCTATTACTCGCGGAAAGGAGAAAAAGCCGCTAAATTCCAAAACCGAAGTCCCAGAACCACCGTAAACTGGGATTTATTCAATTCATTAGTCTGCTGTTGGGAAGATGCCATTGTGAATAACAACGACGAAGAATGCGATCGGCTCATTTAACATCTTCACGTAAGCGCTATGAAAGCTGAGAGTTCGAAAGTCACTAAGAGATGTGTCTTGTCTGTGTCTCCAGAAACACTCGAGCTGATACGCCAGCGTGGAATCGCACGAGCTGCAGGCGACTGCGAACTAAAGTTCGAACATGCAAAGCAATGCAGACAAGCGATAAAGGATGGTCGTAAAGAGAGAAGGGCAGCAGTTATGGTCGAAGCTACAGAGACGGGGAAAGGCACTGGCAAAGCCGGCCGAAACTCCGCCAAATACAAGACCAAGGTGATTGCACTCCGGCGCCCAGACGGAACATTTACTGCATCCAGAAAGGCAATGGAGAAAATCATTCGCGAATACTACTCGGTTCTCTTCGATAGCCACGTCCACCTTCCGTCATTTGAAATAAAGGAGGATGGATATGTTGTACCACCGGTTCTGCCTTACGAAATCCGACATGCCATTTCGTCTGTGAAAAATCGAACAGCACCAGGTCCGGACAGGATAAAATCAGAACACCTGAAGAACCTTCCGCCAGTCCTCGTAAACACACTGGCTCGGCTCTTCACATGTTACCTGTCTAAATGCAAGGTCTCTACTCAATGGAAGACCAGCAAGGCCGTGCTAATGTTCAAAGGGGTAAGCACCATATCGGCAACTGTCGCCAAATCTGCTTGCTGTCTCTCGTCTACAAACTGCTCGCTCGAGTCATCTTAAACAGGATTGACAGAACACTGGACGAAGGACAGCCATGTAGCAAGCAGGGTTTCGAAAAGGATTTAGTACAATGGACCACATCCACTCGATAAAAAGACTTATTGGCATAACGCGTGAGTACAAGAGACCGCATTGACTAACTTTCATCGATTTAAAGAAGGGTTTTAACTCAAATGTGACTCAAGTGGTAATGGAGACCTTGGACAGTCAGGGAGTCCCTGCTCAGTATATAGAGATTCTTCGTGAGCTGTACAAAAATTTCACAGCCGAGGTATCAACATTCTACGATGATATCAACATTGACATCAAGAGAGGGGTTAGGTAAGGCGATGCCATCTCGCCAAAATTATTCACTGCCACCCTCCTGAACGTCATGCGAGCACTGGAATGAGATATGGGAGTGAAAATCGATTGTCGGCAATTACACCATCTTCGCTTTGCTGATGTTATCGTCCTTATAACACCAAACATTAACCAAGCGGAACCAATTCTTGCCGATTTTATAAAGCTATAGAAAGATTGGTCTTTGACTAATTCTCACAAAAACGATGAGGAAGAAACTGGTTTGGTATTCTCCATTTGCGCTCAACGGAATGAATATCTCCGGATGCTCCAGTTATGTCTGTTTAAGTCCCGAAATCAACATGATGAATGACTTAGCTCCAGAGTTGAGCAGAAGGTAATGAGTGGGTTGGGAAGCTTACAGGAGCATCGAGGGTGTAGTGAAGAAAACAAAGAACAGCCGACTCCGTGCCCATCTTTTCCAATCAACGGTATCCTTCGTTAACATATGCGTCAAAAGCCTGGTCGCTGCGTAAACTGTATAAAAGATCAGTCATCGTTATTGAACGCGCAGTCGAAATGGAAGATTTACTGGCGCCCGCTCAAATCACTCGACGATCTACGGGGCGACAGGTGATACAGGTGACACAATTTAATGCAAACTGAACAATCTAAAAAACCATAATTTATTGAGATGCCCAAATTCGAGTACGATAGTTGATGTTCAAACTCCGGACTGGAAGTTTCAGCTACCTGTAGAAAAAGATCCGTAATTGCTTTTGTAACGGTGTGCTTCCTAATTAACCTATTTATATGAGACGAGTTCCATATTTTGCAGATCACAATGCATTTCATTTCACTCACCTTCTCGAATTCAGTGGTTTGACTTTTTAATGCGATCTGTACCTACTTGTGGGTGAACAAAATGTGTCAAGAAAGATGAATAAATCTGATGACGCCTCTCTTTACCTACCAGGATTTCCATGCAGGAATTTCACCCAACAAATTTGAAAACTTTGCCGAATGTCGGTATCTTTGTTAAAGAATGTTCAGGCATTCTGTTGTAAATACCCACTAGTAATCTTTCTTGGAAACACGTCTTTGCCCCTTCGAGTGCCTGGCACGCGTTTGGAGAAACCATGTCTATCTTTTCCCTTACAAAAATTTGCACAAGCGCTGCAGTATTAATTTAATTGCGGCAGTAAGTAGGTTGAAAAGTTTTATATGTTTTTACTTTTGGTTTTTTCTTGTTTTCAGTGGATTTTTAATTTCAGTCTTCGTAGCTTGAACATGATAACTCTATAGTGCATAATAACCTTCTTTTATTGTAAGAAGTTTCGATTCCTTCAAAGCTCTTCACAGTAACCAGTGCTGACGTGTTTTTCTAGTAGTAAATCACCACAAGATGTAAAGATGGAACACGATTCTGACGAGGAACCCAGTAAGGACGGACGTTCTTGTAATTCAGCAAAAAAAGTTAAACCAATTGACTTTCGTCAGAAAAGGAACAGTGTGGAATGAACATCTGAGTATATAGCAGGTAGTATCTTTACTAGGCTTTTTTCGCATTTAAAAGTTGGACGATGGAATAACATGGTGGCACATGTTTGAAAATCTGACGAAACCACCAACAGGCTCAGGTGTAGGTACTCGTTTAGTTTTGCTGATCCTGTCAGTGAAATCCTCTGTTATTGGTCAGATTGTTGTCATTACCTGCTGAGTAGATGGAACACGAATATCGATGCCATTTTCATGTCCTAGCAACCAATAGGTTTGCATAGTTCCTTTTCCCTTAATGAAAAAATTTTCGAGCGACCATGCTGATTACAGATGCAACTTATGTGATGTAATAACTGCGATAAATATCGCAAATCGTATACGATTAAAGTTTAAATGCCTTGATGATAATTTCTCCTCGGGGTTCCGTGATGTAGCCATTATGGGTGCTGTTCAATAATTCACAAGCATTTGATGACATGTGGATACATGCAGCTGAAAAATGATGCTTATACTTCATGACACGGTGACACGACTTGGGATTACGAGAATCGATCGTCAGATCGGTCATGGGATCGGGAGATTTTTTGATTTTTATGGGGTAGCTGTACTTGATTTCCTTACGTTTTCCATTGCTTTCCATTCGACTTGCAGTGTTCACTGTATCACCGAATAGGCCATATCGTGGCATTTTAAGACCGACGACACCAGCAACCACAGGTCCTGAATACTTAAAAACTATGGTGAGCCCAAGAACTGGTGTTCGTTTGCAACCTCACAACTTCCGTTCCATGGCACTACTATCTACGAGCTCCTTACATAGTCATCTTAGTTATACATGGACTTACCGCTGTGTATTCCGACGCGGATATTCACTTTCTGTGATGAAAGATACGGAACACAGAAATTTCTAAAAGTGTGTGTAAAATTCGAGACGGTACAATGAAGAATTTTTTAAAGTCTGATAAACCACAACGATCGAAGCTGGTTTATTTTTCGATAACTAGATGTATTAAACATTGAAAACGCTATGGGCTCATAAAAACCTTTGCATTTGCGTCGGAGGATTAAATATAGTTTTTGAAAGGTTTTATTTGGTTTTTAAGGCAACAGATAATTAAGTAAGCAGAACCCAGTGGCCTATACGTGCACGCTACAGTGAAAAACCGAGGGTTTACTGACGCCCGTTCGAGTCACTCACTCTACGATTAACGGGACGATAGGGTGACATAGATGGTAATGAAGACTTCCAAAATGAACGGAAGCAGAATTTATATTTTCAAAATTTCAAACGAAATTTGGGAAATCATAAATATCAGCACCGTGCTAGGAAACATCATACTCTTGTAATGGAAGAAATACCACTGGTTTAATTGCTTTCATTTTTAAATATTAGCCTCCACAAAAAAGTGCATAAACGTTCAATTTCTGGGCTCTATCGAACCGGGTTTCCATCTTATTAGAAGGCGATAATGTCTAGATTTTAATTCCCTTTGTTTCAAATAATATAGTTTGCAGCGCAATGAGATATGTTGGCCTAAACTTGAAGGCGACCGCTATTCTCGCGACGTGTGAGTGGCATCTCATGGCAGACCCTAATTGTTAATTTCGGGAATCACAATTATAAGGGTTATAAAGGTGCACAAGTTAGGCTTTTTTATCATTTTGAGTAAAACGTAGATTTTACCTTAATCCAGCAACAAGTTCCAGGGATAAATCACAAATTTCTTTGATGTGCTGCAGACCGTTTCGAATCGGTAGACCGGATACGCATAGATAACCATCGCCAATCGTTTCAACCTGCGATTGAGAACTCTGTTAGCAGAAGGAAAGGCGTCATGGAACTATGAGCAATTCTTATAAATTATATAGTATTTGACTGGTAGAATTTACCTTGTAGACATCATGTTCTTCAATGGCACTATCGAACAATGTGTACAAATCATTAAGAAGGGTAACGACCTTAAAATTGATTATGCACTGTTAACACATTTATTTACTCATAAAATTATTTCAAAAGTGTCATTCAAAATATTTTTGCTTTTTCTTTGTTTATTTCATCGTGTTCCACAAGGCCATGTCTGGTTTTTCTGCGTATCATCCTCTGAGATCCGGGTGTCCAATAATTCCATGGCCAACTTCCTGTGGTTCGGGCACGGTCTACCTAATCTCTCGTAAAGCATGCGGGAGCGAATACAGTGGTACAACGGGTAGACCACTGTGTGTCTGTATAAAAGAACATCTAGTCGGTAAATTTAATGTTAAACCAAATATTCAACTAGGCGTGCGTGTAGGACACAGGAACACAACGGAGAAGGTTTTGAAGTAAAAATCACTTTTCTCGCGCAGAAATCAAAAATGGCAGCGCCTAAAGCTCTTTAAGCGTTTTGGATTAATTCGAAAAATCCAAAAATGGACCGCAAGGAGAAGTGTTTTGTGATGACCTAGCACCATACATCAGGCCGATTCCTTGACCTGAGCCATGAGCCGAGGTACAGCCAAGGTTGCATTAATAAATATTCTAATACAACAACGTGCTTGCTCATCAAGAAAAATATTGAATTAATGTCCAATAATTCTTAAGAAACCCCATATTGTAAAGTTTATTGTTCTCGTCTAATACGTCGGCCAGTTAGCACCCGGTCGCTCGACGAGTGAAATTTTCTAGCGATAATCGATGCGTAGTGGTACCAGGTGCTTTTGGGGCGATCATGGTAGCTGTGGTTCGGTACGTATCGTTCAGACTGCCAAGAGCTTTCCACATCTGTTTCATTTTGTTTATTGTTACTATTTTGGTTGCTTTAATTTGTTTCTGATTGAAATAATATCTTTGTAAACCAACTTGCATTGGTGAACCCTTACTGGCAATGGTAGTGAAGCCCACAACATCCGAAAAGAATACCGTAACACTGTCGTAGCTCTCCGGCTCAACGTTCTCGCCCAATTTCAGACGTTCAGCCACCTGTCTATATATGAAAAAGTGCAAGAAAATTGATCTGTTCACCATCTAAGAAGTTGTATAAAAACGCACTTAGGTAACATTCGATACAGAAGTATATCGCATTTCTTTTTTTCCTCTTTTAATTCAAGCAATCGTTTTTCCACTTCTGTTTCCAGTGAACTTGCATAATTTTCAAGTGTTATCATTACATGGTCCATCAGATTCTGCTGTCTGAAAACTATTTACTTATTCGAACCATAAATTTCTCTATTCTATTGTGAGACTTCTTTACTTTCCACTTCGAAGAGATCCAAGGAGCTCTCTGACTCTTTTGATCGGCAATCGGCGGCTCGGATTTTCAGAACAGCATTGTTGAATTAAGTCCACCTGAATTTTTCTCTTTTCCCACTTGTAATGAAAAAAAAGTTTCGCAACAATTTGTTGTAAAAATTATAGAGGCTTCGGTTTCGAGAATTTCGTGATTTATTCCTTCTCAGATTTACAAGAATACAAAAAGTATCTTTTTAAGTGCATTATGGAGCTCTGAACAGCAACTATTCCTCGAATAGGCCCTATTTTCTATGCCATGGCATGTTTTCTATGCAAACTGTTCACTAGTAGTTATCCTACACTTATTCTTGCACTTTCTGCAAACTGCTTCTTAGAGCCCACCTCACCCAACTGCCTTGTAGCTGACTCAAAAGGGATTTTGTAACTACTTTGTAAGAACTGTTCTTCTTAGTCCAATATTTCGAGCACTGAATGAGTAGCTGCCAGCTGCAAGCCCTTTCCATTATCCGCCGTCCTAATCAACTATTTATATAAGCTCCTACATCGCTGTATACATAGCTGTCACATGTTCTTTCCGCAAAAGCTATTGTGTAGCCTTTACGAACTTTATGCGCAAGCAGCACTATCAGATTGTACTAACTAAGAAACTTTGTAGAAGCTCTCTTTGAGCAATAACTCTCTTTCTGTCAAAAAATCGCCCACTACAGAAAGAATATGCGGAGCATTATGAGTCATCCTAGTTAGTTTCCTGCCATTTTTTCAACTCATTTGCCCAGTTAATTCCCCCACCAGTTGTCCTTACCTTTCTGGATATCGTCGCATTGTTAATATTGTATTGCCACTATTCCTACGAACGCTTATGATCCAAGCTTAAAAAGCAGTCGTCCTATCTTTCCTCGAATCTTTTTCACGTGAGGGATTTCAAAGCGATTTCAAACCAGTTAGCAGTCGCAAGCTGATAAGGCGTTTCCTCATGTAGCAGTGGATGAATGGACACTAAGGGTGGCAATAGATTTGACGCGTGCTAGGTTGAGAAACACGTCCGTCTCTACAGCAGAGGTCTTTCTAACTACTATGGCAAAAAGTGACCAAATTCGTTTCTTTAGTTTCATGGCAACCTGAGAAAATGATGTGTATGGAATAGTGCTCCTAATCGTGAAAGGCATAAATGCTGAATTAGAAAGAAGAATGGAGACCTAAATCTTGTTGGAAATGAAAAATGAATAACAGTGACAGATGAAAGCAGCATATACTCACAAGTTCTGCTGACACATCTATTTGATGATGTTCCTTCTCCAGTGCTAAGCGAACGGGCACGGCCGCTATCTGAGCAGCCTGTTCCACCAATTCTAAAATTTCACTTACTAATTCTCAAAAAGGGTAACAAATAGTTTCTTCACTGTTATTTGAATCCTAACCTTTTTTATTTACTGCCTATTCTTTTTAACGGCAGGGTATGTTGCGAAATATAACTTCTATGATACTGGGATATTTGCAATACTCCGGACCGCAGGTGTCTGCGGTGGGGAACGAACGCACTATTGTCCTTTCCAGGGAGCAACGCGTTAACCACCACACCATGCGGGTTCTTCGTTTCCCCTCTCTCAGCTAGTTCTATCGATAACGCGTTACTCCCAGAAAAGGACAGTTGCGGCTATCTCAGCAATCTTGTAGTTGTATTTCACTTAGTACCCTGCCATAAAAATGATAGAAGGCAAAAAATAAAAAAGTAAACATTGTGAATTCAACTACAGCCTCAGCTTAACTGGGTTCAATGCTGATTTGGGCTTCCCAGATCAATCCCGTTGACGGGTGATTGTTGATGGCAAATAGATCAATATAACTAGTTGAGAAACAGGGAAAACGAATAACCCGCATGGTGTGGTGGTGAACGCGGTACACCCAGGAAAGGACAATAGCGCGTTCGTTCCCCACCGCAGACACCTGCCGTTGGGAGTTTTGCAAATATCTCACCATTACAGAGTGTTATTTGAATTATTTCTTGTGACCATGTGTTACGGCACATATGTGATGAGGATTTCTTCTGCTGTAGAATGATTTATTTCGTCAGAATATCCTTGCTGTCGTGCTCACCTTTAGCTGCTTCGCTCCGATTCGCGAGATCACAAGCTGCTTTCTGTGTGATGAGTTCGCTTGCTATTATAGCAAAACTGAAATTAATCCATCAAATACATTGCACAGCAGCTGTCTTTATGAGAAACGAAAGACCAGCTTTGTAACAATATTAATGATTACCTATATACGTCACCTTCCTGTGTACCCAACGGATCTGCTTCGCCTCGAATGATCTCAGGAGCAGTCCAAAGCAAATCTGCAAATTGATCATATGAGAAGGAAGTATTTTGGCCAAAGAAAGTGAACTGCTTTTCAATGGAGTATTAACCAAATAAATTAATCAATAAGAAGATTTTCTGGGCGAAACCACTCCGACACATACCACTTTTCGACCTGTTGTCCATTTTTTTTAGATGACTTAGACCATAATAAGAGATTTTTGTCTGCCATCGATCGTCTACAACGCATACCTATAAAGTTACTAAAACGGGTTTTAATATAGCAATTGATTAAGCTTTAAAGAAAAGTGCCACAACGGTATTCTGTAGTTAAATTGATAATGAGCAAAGAATTGTAGTAGAACTTACAAGTGACGACAGTCGTCCATGTCTTTTTAAAAACGAGTTGTGAATGAACGAAAGACCCTACAACGTTGACATACTTAGGACGTACACACTAAGGATGTTAGGTTGAAATAAATCAGTCTACCGTGGTCAGATCGAAGAGAATGGATTCAATGAACACTATGTCCATCGGCAGCGAACCACGAGTGATAACATCCTGAATATTTTTAAAGTTGGCATGCAAGCTAAGTAACAAACTAAGTCATCAATGTTTCTATTAGACATCAAATGACTTGAATTTGTGTAAAGATGCGATCTTAGTTTTTTTCACTTTCAAGCAAAACATGTTCAATATGCTGCGTTACTGGCACAAAGGCGAATCAGTGGGTGGGGACTGCCCAGCAATGCAGCAATAAAAAATAGAAATAGTAATAAAATACTCGTATATACGAAAACATAATTCTGAAGGTTGCTGTAGACAGAATGGCGCTTGTGGCGCATTAGTCGGAGACGCCTTGCAACACACACATGGGATCGATCCCTACGCCCGTGGCTCGCCAAGCCTTCCATCCTTCCGGGGTCGGCAAATTGGTACCAGACTTGTCTGGGAAGATACCAGCACTGGCTAGTTACATCGGCAGACCACCACGAGTCCTCGTAAAGGCCAGATATGCATTAAATCACCTCCAACGATGCGGATCAGCGTCGAGAGCTTTATTCTTCATTTTTTGAAGACAGGCGGCTAGTAGCATCACAACTAATTATCAAGTTTAAACAATAAGAAACGTAAGACATTCGTTGCTATTATTCAAATTTTCGTACTTGAAAGACATTCAGGAACCATGAAGCCTTACACGCCTAAAATTCTTTCCCATCGAAAAGCTTTACTTACTTCTATACTGAATCCAAAATGACGCAACTGCAGCTGATAACTTACTACTTCGGTTAGGTGATTTTATTGGGAACAGCTATTCCGCTGTTCGCTTTTTTAAAATGTCTTAAGTTTTTGCCACTGAACAGTTTAAGCTGACCATTAGTAGGTGATAAAAGAATCAGGCAGACATTGACGAAACACAAAACAAAACTGCTTGGTCTATGTCTAAACATAGAGTAATTGGCCAAATTGCAAGTGCTCTACAATTTTAAGATTTGCATTTTCGAAAACATGATTAGCATAACTGGATGTTGTATTAGAAACTCTTTATGGACGGTTAAGGATGCAACGATTGCGGCTCAAATACCGGACTCAAGTGTTTGGTACAGGACTTGTCTGGAAAAAAAAATCACTCTCTGCAATTCAGTTGAGAATGCCCTGGCCCGGCTATCTCAGGACTTCAGGAAGAATTGCTCGATCAGCACTGTAGGTCCTTCAAGATGGAATGAAAATCCTCAAGCAGCAACAGCAGCTACACGCAATAGTTCGAAGGTCTTCGTGGACAGTGAATGCCAGGAATGGAATCGGATGTGAAAGGTGCTGGGATCTGCACAGTAGACGTGAAGATAGGTCATTTAAAGATAAAGAAAAATATTTGTTTACGTGATCTTATAGACCGGTCTTGTTAAGCTGACGCGAGGTTGGTATAGGTCTTCGTTGTTGTTGTTGTTCTTGTCGCTGTTGGTGCTGTGCTGATTACGAAAATCCCACTCGTAATATCGCGGCTCTGAGGAAGGCGAAATCGCCGAAACGTTAGCCAACGACAAACAACACCAACAGCGACAACAACAACGACGACTACGACAACGAAGACCTATACCAACCTTCCATCAACTTAAGAATATCAGTTTATAAGGTCATATAAATTAATATATCAACTATATGCGGTCAACCAGAGGGCAGCCAACAAATGCGAGGCATCGAAATGGAACTACTTCGAGCTGCACTACGAAGCAAGCAAAACGATATGTTTTCCAGAATGAAGAAGTGTGTAACGAAGGAACATTTTTGTGCTTTGTATTTGGAGGATCGTCTTTGGAGGAGGATAGTTGGCGGGTCAATATTGATATGCGACTTTATTAAATCTAATGCCAAAATAACCTTACAACAAAAATTCGAAAATCTTTTGGGTGATTCACATGTTTCATTTTTAAGAAACAACCGCAAACGAATTTCTTACGCTTCTGATAATAGTCAAAATGAGGTTGATAATGGACCAAGAAAATCTAGGGTCACCGTGATTGGGGGCATAACAATACCTAAGAATGCGCGCTCACTATTAGAATTGGGCCCAAGTTTTTCACCATCACAGCCCATTTCTAAAACGACCCTGCGTAGGATAGCATGCAACCTTTATGAGCTTCAAGATCGACTCCACTATCAGGCCAAGCAGAAAACATCAAATACAGATAAAAATTAAGAGGCGGCGGCACTACCACCATCACCTTTCCCTAAAACGTTTTTTAGACAGCAGGACCCTAACGATGGAGTTGACACAAAATTCCGCGTGTTTTCGGACGGCGTTCTCAAGACCCTTGATCACTACCGCGATAGGAAGTTTATCTCTAACCTTACAGCTGCACAAAAATGTGGCATGCGAGAAATTAGAGAATTAATAGACTCGAAAACAATAAGATTGTCTGTTAGTGACAAGTGGGAGAGTTCGTAGTTATCCCTCGCCATCTCGATGTTGAGATAACAGCGGAACATCTTAGTGATGCTACTCTCTATCGCCCATCCTCTGAAAAGGAATATAAAAGTCAATACCGAAAGCTAAACAATCAATGGGTCAGCGTGGCAAAGGCTGCGGGTTTAAAATCATCGGTGATTTCGCACTTTAAAATCGATAGACCAACATGTCCCGTCCTATAGCTACTTATTAAAACACATAAGTTGGTATCACCTGATGATCATGCGTCAACCAAACCGTCATTATCTAAGGTTAGACCGATCATCAGCTGTGTAGACGGGCTAACGGGTAGAATAACCTGGTTTTTAAGCCTGATACTTACCCAGTTGCTCAACCACATTCCAGCTCACCTCACAAACACCCAAATGTTCCTAGAACGTCTACTTAACGCGTCTCCTAATAACGCGTACGTGATGGAGTCTTTCGACGTTACCGCACTGTACACCAACGTATCGAATGGCTCCGCAATGCAAGCCATCTTCGAACTTCTTGTTGAACATGAAGGAAGAAAAAATATGCATAGCTCGTCCATCCAGCAGCTAATGGCTCTCTTAAAGGA